ATGTGTAAAGCCTCCTGGTTGTGTAGAGTCCGATGTGTTTGCACATGGAAGGCACACAGTACAGTGCCTGGCAGAGTGAACAGACGCTGCACATCTCTAAGGACCGGCTGCAAGGCAGCCCGGTTCCAAGAGGCCACATCAGCTCAGAGCAGAAGCCCGCACAGAGCTGGGAACGAGTGTCACTAGCTGAAGGGACACGGACCCAGGCTGGAGACGCAGACTCTCCACACTTCCGCAGATCCCAGGGACGTGGTGAACTGTCAGGAGCAGCTGACAGTGGCGGTGTTGGTACGTCCACTGTGTCCGGCCGACAGTGAAGGCAAAGTACTCCCTCTATGGGAAGACAGGAGGCTGGTACTGAGTTGCAGGCTCTCTGTGTGCAAGCCAGCCCCTCGGCCGCCGCTGCTCCAGCCGCGCTTTCCAGCCCTCTCCTGGCCCATCTGCCACGGCCAGTGCCCGACCTGGGTCTTTCCTTCCTGGCCATCTGGCAGCTGGGTGCTACCTTGATATTGGATTTTTTCATTCAATTTCCCAGGTTTCACTCAAGAGCCCGGGCGGGGACTGGATCTCTATTGCTGAGTCCATCCTGAGCCTAACACTGTCCTTTCGGTGCAGGACAAGAGCTCAGAGCTTCTGAGCTGACTGGCCTGTTTCACACACAGATGAAAGAAAGACAAGATTCCTGATGCACTTCCACAAAAATGTGTTTCCCTGGGTACCGGAGCAAATCACCTTCGGGGTTCTGCGTCCTACTGATGTTGCCTCTGCGAACTGCACACGTAGTAGCTGTTCTAGGTCGTACTGTCATCTCGTTTCTGCTCACTTCTGGTTTTCTAGCTCATAAGAAGGAATCCGCCGGAGCAGGTGTTCGGTTTTTATCACCACATGCAGAGGGACTTGAGTGCGGGCTGTCTGAAAGCCTTTGGTGTTTCCATGGTGGCCACAGGACAACTTGGGACCCACAGTGTCCCCATGTCGACAGAGGAGCCGCTCCGGAAGGTCACAGTGCCAGGGAGTTCCCAGGGACAATGGCATGCCTGCCTCATCCTCCAGAAGACCTTGGGTCTGCACACCCCGTTTCTTCTATCTCCCTGAAACGCTAAGACGGTTATCTAATAAATTAACAGGAGTTTGTTATCACACACAAAATGCCACCTCAATGGACACTGCTCACAGGAAACCTGTACCTTTAGGGCAACTCAGCTCTGGCTATAAAATATCCTCTCCGAGCTGATTTTTGGCATAAAATGTCAAGGACAAAATAAATTTTTTGCTGATTAAAAGAAAAACCTTTTGGTGGCAGCTATTAAATTTTGCAGCTGAAGAAAGAGGGCTTTCATTGGCATCAGCTCTTTTCACTCCTCAATCATAATGCCAAGCTCCTATTAGCTTTAGAAAAACAAAAAGTGATTCTTTTCTCAATGTGTCGATACAATGTGCTCCTTCCCAAAACAATGTTAAATCAAAATGAGGCCATTTTAAAAGATGCTTACAGAGAACCAGCTCTCCCCTTTGACCTTGTGCGTGGAAGAGTCCTTTCAAAGATGTCACAGAACGCTTCGGCTCCTTCATTTTCTCTCTAGATAGCCCCATCTCACATAAGAGGTGTCAGTTTCTCACGCATCTCCAAGATCTGCCTTCACAACAGCCAGCGTAACCGCTGAAGGCTACATGGCTATTTCCTGAGCAAGCTCATCTTTTCAAAGGCAAATGGCTGGAGGTCCTCGCTCACGCTGTCCCGGCCGCAGGACACTGCATCCCTGACAGGGACCCAGGTGAGGGCCAGGCGCTCCAGCGCACTGGCTGAGTGCGGGACCTGCTCCCCACTGCCGGCCTCACGCCACAACGTGTGTGGGCAGCTCTGGCCGGCCCTGTATTTACACAAACTCTCTAACAGTCTCTGGCACCACCAGCGTCTCCAAGGGAGGCACAGTGCACAGAGTGTTCCACCAGAAAATCTTTAAACAAAAGGAATTAAAGAAAATCCCTGCTTAATAGTCAGTTTCTACCAAGCTCCTAAATTCTCAAGAGCATGTGAAATATTAACTTTCCCCAAAGGCAGCACAGAGCGCGCCTTGTCTCGGTTCATACTCACAGGTCACAAACGCCTGGGAGAGGAGCGGCCTGCGTGCCTAACAACCCGCCAGGTCTCCACCAACAGAGGCCGCGGCACACAGGCCCTGCATCCACATGGCCTGAGTTCAAAACCTGCTCTGCACCCGCCCATCCTCACGCAACCAGTCCATAATTCAGGGACAGGGTGGTGGCCACCTCACTGCTTTGTCAGGAGATTTATGTGGTGTGAAGTAAGCATCCAGCATGTGATGTGGTGGTCCTTGCAGGACAGGCAGCCTCCCACCATCCTGACTCTCGGAGGGACCCTTCTTCAGCAGAAAGTAAAAGTGGTGAATCTCTAATGCAAATCCCTTCATTGTCTTCTGTTGCACTCAAATCCAGCCTTGGTTTACCACAGGGGCCAAGGCCCCAAGGAGAGATTAACAGAGGCAGCCACAAGGGGGCACTAGACCAGAGCCAGAGGGAGGGAGACTGGATGGTTCTTGGCTTCCAGGCTACAGCCCTCTCCCTGGGGCTCTTCCTCTCTGCCACAGGCAACACTAAGGAATTCTCCTCTTCCCTCCTCACCACATTGTCAGCCTCAGAAGCTCCAACATCATCCCAAGGCCGCCATTTTGCTTGCCCATCTGCCTGAGCCAGCAGAGATCCCGCCATGACACCACCATGGGGTCCACATGAGGACACCAACAAGGGCCCCCCACTTCCACAGCCATTTCCTGTGACCAGGGCCCTGCCCAGTGGTACACAGCTCCATCTGTCTCCTGTCCCCATTTCCCTGGACAGTGGGTCCTGACGTACTCCTATACTCCTCTTGGATAGGGTGAAGTGGTGACTGGATGTGTAAGCATGACGGAATTTTTAAATAACTTGACATCAATTTCCATGAAACAATAGATTGTGTAATCAGGCTGGTGTTGAACCATAAAAAACTGGTTAAGTAAAAGGATAGCAAATTAATACACTTAGTGGATATTTATCCCTATTTACGAAAGTCATTAAATGAAAAATCATAGTGTTATTTTATAGCAGAGAAAAACATCAGAAAAGTATACCCTGGAGATAAAAAGTGAGTTTCCAGTGACTGTACACTTATGATGACTTCTTCCCCTTCCTGTCTGCTTAGTTGTATTTTCTAATTTACATGCAGCGCATTCAATAATCCTGTTTGAACAACTGCTTACTGAGCACCCTCCCGTGCTGAGGCCAGGATTCCTGGGGAGACAAGGCAGACCTACGCTCTGGACCACAGGCCAGGGCAAGACGGATGCAGTAATGCTGTAATCACATGAATGCATAACCACAACCCGGAACGTAAGCCGGAAACACAGGGCATGTGGCACCATGGCCAATTGAAGAGGGAACGTGATCTCCTGGTGTGGGTCCTGGCTCAGGGACAGCACCCGAGAAGAGTGAGCTGGTCAGGGTAGTTATGTCTGCAGTTTAGCTCTCAGGAGGCTGAGGCAGGAGGATCCCTTGAGCTATGGAGTTCAAGACCAGTGTGGGAGACCTTATTAAAAAGAACAACAGTAATAATGATAATAATTTAAAAACCACTGACTGCCACAGCTGGGTGGGCCCACAGGACTGGGTGGAAGCAGAGCTAGAGAGCTGCAAGCCACTACAGCTCTGCCCCTGGGTCGCTGGGAACCAAGTGCAGGCTTTGCCCTGGCAGAGGTGAACTACACAGCATGATTTCCAAACTTGTGTCTATCTCGGGACCCGGTGCCAGCACTTCAGAAAACAGAGGCAGGTGTATTTCCACTAAACACCGCTCACTGGGTCTGTGTTTGGGGAGCACTGGCTCTTCCATCCCGGCCTGGTAGGGTGTGGCCGATCTCTCCTGTCAACCCCGACGCCCCCTCCTCACAGCCTGGCACCCACTGTCCCAGATGCCCTGCTGGACCCACCTCAGGGGCCAGGTCCTGCGGTCATTACTCCTGCTAAGTATCAGGGCCTGGCACAAGGAGTGGGGTTGAGGTCAGCATGGATCAGTGCAGGGAGGCCATCGGGGGTGCCAGGCAAGGCAGGGGGACACTGCTGGCCAGGGAGACGTTCCCAGTGTCACCTTAGGGGACCCGCACCACTTTGGAACAGGGGTACTGGGCTCTGGGCAGGACTGGCCCGAGCACCCCATGATATTTAGCATATGGGGCTCAGGGAACACCTGATGCCCATAGTGGGACACCCTCTCCCGCACCCCTGCCAATCGCTGTGACCATGGCAGTGGTGGCCAGGCTGGAGCTCAGAGGTGGCGTGCATGGCCCTAGCCTGACCCCCCAGCACCCCAGAAAAGTTTCAAATCTGCAGGAGGGCTCCAGCAGCCATGCCCCTTCCTAATAGTCGATGGCAGGGAGGGGCGGTCAGTGCTGTGAGCTGCAAGTTCTCAGGAGCGAGATCTGACTGGGCAGCTGCCCTCCAGATGGGGGATGACTGCTCCGCCCTTCCTACACCCACCCTTCTTGGGGTGCCCACAGCGCCACCTGAAGACCAGCCTTGGGACTGCTGCACCCCGCCCTCCAGTCCCTCTCCCTGCCCCTGTCCACTCCTACTGCACCCCCTGCTCCTCAGCAAGGCTTCGCACAGCCTCCTGGGCCCTGGGATGTCCCGTGGGAGTCCATCACGGCCAGGAAGCCCGACTGCGGGGGAGTGCATCCCTCTCGCCGCCCGCCTTTTCGAACTCAGATCCTTTCTGAGTTCTGTGTGTCGGGCTGGGGCTGGAGCTCATGGAGTCGATTTTTATGGTACGGTCTTTGCTCACTTGTTTTCAAAACACCTTTGCAAAAACACTAACCGGGCTTCAAAAACATTGCCTTCCCCGCGTACCCCTCACCTGCAGCCCCGCAGGTCACAGAGGGAACCCCAGAGCCACCGGCCCTGCTGCGGCTGCCGGGGTCACGGAAGACACCGCTCGCCACCAAGCTCACCTTGTGCCTTGGGCTCCCGTCAAACAGCTGGGCAGTTTGCTTACGGAGGCGCTGGGCAGCAGGCTGGAAGTGGGAGAGGCGATGACAGAATCACAGGGTGTTGTGGCCACACTAGGGAGGCCAGGGACAGGCCAGGGATTGGCTTTCAGTCCAAAATAAGCTGGCCCGGAGGCGCAGCTGGCGGCTGTGTAGTTGCTCAACAAACACACATTGACCGGATAATGAAAAGGGCCTTTGGCGTCATCTCTATGGCGGGGGTGGGGGGTGCAACAACGAGGCCACGCCCTCTCCAACACAAGCCACCTCCTCCAGCCCCTCCTCGGGAAAGCTGCTTGTGCCTCTGAGCGGAGTACAGAATTGGACGGCGAACTTTGTTTCTAATTGGCGGTGCAGGGATTGCACCCAAGGCCTTACATGCTGGGCCACTGAGCTATGTCCCCAGCCCCAAGTGGACACTTGTGTTCAAAACATTTAAGATTCTTCGCTCCTTGAAAAATCCTTTATAACTGATGGGCAATTTCCACACACACTTATGCACATGTGATTTGCATACACACGCGTGTGATTTGCGTATATTTGCATAATATGTGCTCCCTTTGGAATGGGAGATCCCTCCTCTCCGAGACGTGGTTTTACAACATACACATGCAAACTGAGCCCTTTATCAAGCAGAGAGAATTCCGAAAACTAAGTTTTCTTTACCAGAAGTAAAACCACAGTGCATTCCCAAAGGTGGAGACTCTTTTTTCAAAACTGCAATGCAACTTTTTTAAGAGAGGGAAAAAAAAGAATGGGCGGCCAAATAAAGACGGAAGAGGGGTCCTCATGGCGGAGCCCACAGAACCCGCCCGTTTATCTGAGTTCAGTACTTCTGCTCCCACCTCCCTTACTCCAGTCTGCGGATCCAGCAAGATAAGTATTCCTCCTGGGCTGCCCTCCAGGGACCGCAGTCCAGCCCCAGGGACGGGGACAGAGACAGAGACACCCAGAGTCAGAGGGGAGCCACCCACAGCCTCCTGTCCTGAACAAGGTCCACACACACACAGGCAGCACCTCAGACTCCCTCCTCCAACTCCCTCCTCACCCCTGTAAGGCAGCCTGCCAGCCACAACTAACAGGGGGCTTTCACATCTCTTTGCCTATATAGTCTTACCTTTCCTTTATACACCGTTCATCCCTGCTGGTGAACTCCTACTCATCCTTCAAGACCCATCCTAAAAGGAAGAGGCCTGCCTTTCTCTGATAGAACATTGTAAAGTTTGCATTTAGATGCATTTTCTCCTTGGATTACAGTAATCCTTATCGTCACCACTAGGCCAGGAACTCCTGAGGTTGGGGGGCAAGACTGTACCTTTGTCCTGTGTCACTCCACAACACCAAGTCCCAAGGCTCAGACAACGAGCTCAGACAATGTTAGCTGAACCTGTCATGTGAAGGTACAAGATCCCAATGATGACTGTAACTGTACTGTATACCTAAAAAGTGCCAATAAACTCAATGAGAAAAAGAAAAGGAAAATGTTAGCTGAATGCACAGGAAAAAAGTCTCATCCCCAGTCCTGGTACTCAAAGCTGACACCCAGAGCTCAGGAAGACTCCTCCCTGCTCTCCCCCTGCCTTGGTGCAGACTTCAGGGCCCTTGTCCGTGCTTCATGGCCGACACCATGCATTCGATCTGCTCTGCCTCCTTTTCTGGGAGCGGGAGCTGAGTGACTTTTCTGTCCTCCCACGGACAGCATCTGCTCACACAGAAGAGACAGCCCGACAGGAGATGCGGCCACATCCTCAGGAGAGGGCCAGAGTCAGGGTTCAAACCCAGAGCCACCCTGCAGGCTTCCTGGGCAAAGGAGAGTTCAGTTTCGCCGTGTGATTTCTGTCCCTCCACAACCCAATGGCCAGGCCGGGAAGAGCGCAAAGCCCCTGCTGTCCCCACATCTCACAGCGGGCAGTGACAACAACGTCCAGTCTCTCTGTTCCCTCGGACACAGGCAGGGGCTGGTGAGAAAGCACAGAGCCATGTCCTCCCTGGGTGCTGCCCGTGGGGGACTGTCCCCTGCTCTACTGGTCAGTTTGGCGGCTCTCCCTCGGGGCAGACACCATGCAGGGACCTGGGGACACAGGGCCAGGTCGGAAATGTGCAGGCCCCAGGCTTCCCGCCCAGCACTGTGGCAGGGACCAGGCAAGGTCCCTGGAGGGCGCTGGCTGCTGGGGTCAAGGGCGGCTCACAGAGGGGCAGCACAGAATCTCTCACGTTCCCTCCACTCGGGAGCCCGGACACATCCCCTGCCCCTGCCCCTGCTCCCCTCCCCTCCTGTCCCCAAACCACCCAGGGGCCTAGCTCCAGCGCAGCCACGCCCTGAGTGCAAACGAGCCCGCCGCTGCCCGCTGACTGTCCCCATTCCGGGCTGTGAAAGAGCCGCAGAAGCGGCTGAGGAGAGTCCCAGCGCAATGAATTCCACATTCCCAACATATTTAGTCCATTTCTCCACGGTCTCGTGCAGCCATTGCCCACGCTGATTGACTAAAAAAAAAAAAAAGAAAGGAAACGGGAACAAAGCCGACCCAGATGTGTGCAGCAGCGCGGCCCTGGGAAAACGTGTGCGGCCTGCAAGGCTGCGCCGAGAAGGCGGCAGGGGTGAGGCCAGCAGGATGCAGTCGGGCCTGGTCCACGAGGCCTGCAGGCACAGCCGAGGAACAGTGTGGCTATCTCACCAAAGCCTCGCGCCGCGGCCTGCAGACCCGCTCAGGGTGGGGGTGCCAGGGCCCCAGTCCCCCTGTGCCGGGCACACTGGACATCGGCAGACCCTTCCTCCGAACTCGCACCAGGGAGGCTGAATCCACCAGCCCGCTCAGGAAGACTGGCAGAGCTCTCAGTTTGCAGGGAACGAGGAAGGAAGGAAAGCGGGGAGGGCGTGGGGAGGAGGGGAGACCCAGCGAGGGGCCAGGCAGCAGCAGGAGGGGAGATGAAGCAGGCTGCCTGGGCTGAGCGGCGGGTCTCCGATCAGGCCCTCAGATGGAGGCCCAGCTCCTGACCTGCCTCCCCACCAGCCTGCGGGCAGCACCCAGCCCACAGCAGCAGCAGCTCCCCGCTGGCCAGGCTCCTCAGCCCAGGCTGTACTGGTCGCTGGTCCGGCTGGGTCCTGATTGGAGGGACGCAGGAGGAGCTGCAGGCTCGCCACGGGGTCCAGGTGGCGTGAGGGCGGTGACACCAGCTCCCCCAAGGGGCCGGGACTGAGGGCCAGAGCCGCTCACAGACTGAGCACTTCAGCACTGCTCGTAGACAACTCTTCCTTTCTTCTCCCCAATTCTAGCCAACAAACCACAGCCAGAGCTGTTTGCTGGGCTGCTCTCTCTGCTCTCCTCGTCTTCCCCAAACTCCTGCCTGGGCTCTGGACAAAGGGCTGGTGAAGCAGCCTTTATTCTGATTCGGGAGAGCATGTGGCATTTTCTCTGACCAAAATGAAGAGCTGCGGGCGCACCCGACAGTGGGCTCTCACTTGGCCTTGTGCACAGGACCCGGGGTGAGCAAGACGGAGATAATACTCCAGAACCCGGAAATAAAACTGAAGCGCATGTGCTCTGTAAAAGCATCGTCTCACGAGATCACATTTGCTCTGGCGGCGGGGGAGGAGACCGCACGAGTTGCGCCTCACCTGCACCTCACCTGCACCTTTGCGTCACCCTCCCAGGGACGGGCGGAGGGGGTGCCCGGTGCCCTGGTGCTTGGCCTCTCGCTAAGGAGCCAGCACAGGAGGGGCAGCGGGGCCCGCACGGCTCGGTCTGCGTCTAAGAGAAAGCCAGGGAAAGGCCCAACCCCAGACCCGGGATTCAAGCAGAGGTCACAGAGGAGCGTTTCACAGCGCCCTGATCCTGGGGGCACACGTGCTTGCGAGATGGAGACAGACGTTTCCGGAAGGACGAAGGACACTTCCTTTCCACACAGGAGCACACGTGCAGTGACTGGCTCCACCGGCTCCTGCAGCGCAGAGCTCGTGGGCCATGGGCCCTGCAGGGAGCAGCTCCGTTCCCCAGCCAGGAAGACTGACGTCACCATCAGTGATGAAATGGTGAAGAACACTAGCCCTCATTCAGCACGTGGGTGTGGGCTTGCGAAGGCCAGGCCAGGAAGGCCAGGGGCGGGCTCAGAAGTCCCACGGCACAGGGGACACTGCCCGACACCTCCTAACCTCGTGGTTCTCCAGGGACAGAGCCCACGGGCCTCAGCGCCTTCCTCTGTCACACGGCGACGGTGCTATTCCCCCAAGGACAGGAGAGCGGCCTGGTCGACGGAAAGGAAGGATTAGCATCAGCATTAACCGTAGGGTGAAATGCTTCTGATAGATTTAAACTTTAAAATTACCTTTCAGAACAGGTGTATTTCAGAAGATGCGAGACGTCAAATTAGCACATAACGCTCACGAACAGGAAACAAGTGCAGCCCCACGTGGCAGTGCACGCCTGTCATCCCTGCACTCTGAGGCTGACACAGGAGGATCGCAAGTTCAAACCTAGCCTGGACGATTTAGAGACTTAGTTTTACAAAGATTTTTTTAAAGTGTTGGGGATGAAGCTCAGTGCAAAGGCCCTAGGTTCAGTCCCTGGAATGCAAGGAAAAACAAAAGACAAAAGAAATGTAATAGGTGGAAAACATAAGTATTAACAGTGGTTTCCCCTTAGCTGTGGGATTATGTATCATTATATCTTTTTCTCTATACCTTTCTGTACCAGTTTATCATAAGAGAAACAATGGTCATCACCAACTGGAGTAACACTGGCCTTGGTTTCTTTATCCACAGTATGGGGGCAACAGGGCCTCATCGTCAGGGTCCCCCTGCCGGTCACTCCGCAATGTCACCCAACGCCAGGCAAAGAAAATTTAGTCACACAGGAAAGCTAACATCTCCTCTCCTCACGGGAAGAATATGCTTTCTTCACACATCAGACTCAGGGCTGAGCATGGACACCGGGCTCAGAACAGATTTCTGTGTAAAGAACCGCACCCTGCATCCCCGGAGACTCCTCTGCCGTCTGGCCGACACGGTGACAGATGGCTGCTGTCTTGAGAGGAAAGACGGGGTCTTTTAAAGGCACGAGGAAGACTGTCATCTGGACCCTGCCCTGGTGCCTTGGTGACTTCCCCTTGTCCAGCACCAGGCAGCCCCTCGCCTGGC